TTTTTTTTAAAGACTTTATTTATTTGAGAGAGAGAATGAGATAGAGAGCACGAGGGGGGGAGGGTCAGAGAGAGAGGCAGACTCCCTGCTGAGCAGGGAGCCCGACGTGGGACTCGATCCCGGGACTCCAGGATCATGACCTGAGCTGAAGGCAGTCGCTTAACCAACTGAGCCACCCGGGCGCCCACTTTGTTTATTCTTATTAACTCAAGTTTAGAAATGGGACATTCATGTGAAACGGGGCCCTGGGGATTTCTCTCCCTGATTCAAACCATTTCTTTTTCTCATTTTTATCTTTTTTTTTTTTCTTAAGCAAACAGTGGTGCTCCAGGAGAGAAGAGGATGAGAGAGCAAGGAGGAAGGGAGGGCAGCTTCGATCCTCAGTTGTGAGCTCAGGCCTCTGAGCAGCGTGGCCGGCTGGCCGTGCTCCTCTCCCCTCTCCAAAGGACACGCTAACACCCTAGGGCTGTGGGTGAGCACAGGGATGGCGAGTGCTAGCGAGGGACAGTGTGGGTGGAACAGTAATAGCAATGACAATGACTATAGCAACCCATGTCCCCGTGTCTGGGCGCTGGGCAGTACCCAAGTTATCCCAAATTCCCACAAACACCCTCTGCTCACTGAGAAGTAGGATCCCCATCTACAGATAAGGGAACCAAGGCTGCTGGAAGTTGAGTAACCACCTTGTCCAAGGCCACAAAGCTAGTGAGCAAGAGCCAGGGTAAGAGCCCAGCTTTGGGTGGTTTTTTCCAGCAAACCAGCACCATGTACCGGGTACTAAAACCACAACTGCAGTGAGGCTTGGCCCCGACAGGTACTGGCTGGTGCCTCGATGTTGGTCTTGCTACAGCCAAGCTGTGGGGTCTCTAAAGGGGAGGGCGGGGCCAAGGCCTGATGGTGGCAGCGATGGTAGGGGCCAGCTCTCTGTGGCTAGATGCTTTCCCAAGAGCAAGGCTAATAAGCGGGCTAGTCCTAAACAGAAGTCCCTGGGATCCGGTTTCACCTCCCCCTTTCTCACCATCACCTTTGGCCCTTAGTCATAACAATCATGCATTCACTCATTATTTAACAACCAAGCATTGAGTCCCTACTCCAGCTCCAGCCCCGTGCCAAGCACTGGAGAGACCCAAATGGCTAAGAAGCAGCCCCAGCCCTAAAAGGGCCTTCTGTGCTCCACCAGGCAAGACTCTAACTGTTGTGCCACGTTTTCCAAAACAAAAAGGCAGAACAGATGGTTCAGCATATGGCATGGCCCAGGGACAACAACTGAAAGCAGGGCACCCTAGCAAACTGAGGCCCTCTGGAACCAGCGTTCTAGCTTCCGGGGTGTGTGCCTGCCCGCCCCATCTCAAGCGGCTTGAAGGCAGACACTCAGACTTTCTCTTCCACAGAGATGATTCCTGGCCAGATGTCACTAGGTAGGAAACAACCTCAGGGACAACCCAATGACCTGGCGAAGTGAAGCCAAGCTACATAGAGACTGACTTTCTCTTCTCCTCTCCCCAGTGCATGGAGGCCCTCTCACCCCAAGAGACAGTGAACACCTGACTCGGAGGCTCCTCGACCAGCCTGAAGGGCAGCTCAGGCCACAGTTCATGGCCATGCTACCACGCGGTGCCATTACACGGGAAGTTAGGATGACAAAAGTATCTGACTGCATATCCATGGAGACATCATTAAGATGCCATTAAAACACCATTAAAACATGTGAGCTCAATGTAAAACTATTACATTGCAAATTATACTGCTGTAAAATAAACAAAGGAAATGGATTCCAAAAAGCATTAAAGTAACATAAAGCAAACTGAACCCCTTTTTCAAGTACAAGAGAATTCTAAGTAAGAAAAGCACGCAGTCCATGGTGAAAAGGCAAGCCCAGACTCAGCAGTCAGCCCTGCATTCCCACCTTGCCACAGTCTCCAACTAGCTGTATGACCCTCCACAAGCATTTAATCTCTCAGAGCCTCAAGGTCCTGTATGAGAAATATTGCACTGATTAACTGATGGGAGGATTAAATGAAATGAGATGAGAGAGAGAAAGGCACACGGTGAGGCTCAGACCCACGTCCCAAGAGCCAAGGAATGCAATGTCTGAGTCTGGGCCCCGAACCTCTCCACTAATCTGAGAAGACTCGAAGGGCCCACCCTAGGGGCTACTGCTGTGATAGTTCCCCACAAAGAATGAGATTAATGACTGTGCCCAGTCAGCAGTCACGGCTCTCCCCTCCTCCAGGCCCCAGAGGACCAGCCAGCCCTTCTTCATCTGAAGACACTCATCTACACTTAGGGCAGTCATGTCACGTGGGCGACTCTCCCAGGAGATCCACACACGGAGTTCTTCCCAACTGCCCTTCAAGTCCTGGGAGTCCCCATCTGGAATGGAATCTGCTCCCTGAGGTCCGGGCAACACCCTCCCACTCACCACATTAACCTCACTGCCCAGGGCCGAACGAAGTGAATGAATCAATGAATATGTGACTCCTGCCAACCCTGCCCCCCACCTCTGGACCTGAGGCCCAGACATGCTCTTTCCACTTCAAGACAGCTAGGAGAGCAATTCATTAAGTGGTCCCCAAATTTTTTTTAATCACATTATCACTATTATTTTAAAGATTTTTTTGAACATACAACATTAAGTACATAAATTCTATGCCACTGATATATTACATACGTTATAAGACATGTACACACACAACAGAAATTTTAGAAAGATGATACGAAAACATCTAAGTGAAATGTCCAGGGCTGTCTCCTGGATCTGTTTACACAGCACCAGGGATGTGAGCCCTGCTTTTAGGAGCATCCTCTGGATGATCCTCGTCTTCTGACCAAGGATAGGCATCTAGAGACATGTGAAATCCTCAGCTCCAGCACCTCACAAACTGACCTCAAACCCCAGGACCCAGCTCTCACGTGCATAACATGTGGTCACGCCTCAGTTTCCTCCTCCAAGCACACTGCCACTCTTCTAACGTGACGTGGAAACGAGATGATGTCCAGGAAGGTGGATACTATCAGCAGCACCTAGATACACAGAGTACAGTTCGTTGTCATGCACCCAAATAACAGCCACAGAGAAGGGAAATACAATGGAATACTCTGAAGCTATGACGAAGCACCAGGGGAGCTCTATGGACTGGTGTGGCCTGACGGAACACGTGGGTAAGTGGGGGGAAAAAAAGCAAAATGCAAAAGAGGATCTAGAATATGCTACTTCTTATGAAGAAGAAGAGCAAATAAGAAATAACTCATTTGATGGGGCGCCTGGGTGGCTCAGTAGTTAAGCGTCTGCCTTCGGCTCAGGTCATGATCCCAGGGTCCTGGGATCGAGCCCCACATCGGGCTCCCTGCTCTGTGGGAAGCCTGCTTCTCCCTCTCCCTCTCCCCCTGCTTGTGTTCTCTTTCTCACTGTGTCTCTCTCTGTCAAATAAATAAATAAAACCTTTAAAAAAAAAAAAAAGAAAGAAAGAACTCATTTGAGCAAAAAGAAACATGGGAGGAAAACCTAGACTAATCAGACTGGCTACCTAAAGGGCAGGGGTGAGAATTGGGCAGATGGGATAAAGGGAATGGGGTGGGAGTGGAGGGGATACCTCTCTAAATAGAATTTTCTGTACAGACTTGACGTTTGGAAATATGTTAGTGGTTTGCATGGATGGAAGGAAGCGGGAGAGGAGGTGGAGAGTAGGGAAAGGGTAAAGGGAGGAAGTCTACAAGAATTCAAAGAAAAACAAATGAACCAAACTATATTTCAAACAAATAATAAAAACCACTCTGAAGGAGGAAAGAGAAAAAAACCAGGCCAAGGAACATCTGAACACATTTGGACTATATGCTCTCAAGCTAAAGGCAAAAGAATTCTAAGAATGAATTCAAATTAGTAAGCTTTTTTGCAGAGGTTAGCAATCCTGAAACAACTTTTTGACATCCTGGGATTGAGCAAGTATGTAAATATGTTGTAAAAATGGGAGCCAAGTTTCACACTACTGGAGAAGGGAGTTACAAATGTGAAAATGGAAAAAGGCAGAATGAACCGCCACAGTACTGGATAGAAAGATGAAAAATCCATGTAAACTCGCAGGTTTAATAGAAGGAAGCGGACAGAGGTGTGTACGGGTGTGTGTGCACACACATCTCCTGCCCAGATCTGTCTTCTGAGAAGTACTGACATCCCAGTAGCAGCGAGCACACCTAACACCCAAATCTTGGTTTCTAAACGCCTTTCTCCACTAAAAGGAACCAGAGCTCCTTGGAGCTCTTTACAGAGATGCAGCAGAAACAGAACAAGATAAAACTGGAACATCTTGCTGTGTAAAAAGTAAGAACGTGTTCAAAGAATGATGGAGACATCTCAAATGGAGTCAGGAGCCAGCCTGAAGGAGCTTCTATTGGTCAAATTATAAAATCAGATTAGAATTTATTAAAGTAAGAGTCCATGAATCCGCAACAAAATAAATAAACAGACTGATTGAGGGGGTAGGGGGATGACTCCTCTTTATAACAGGAAGAAATTATAGAATTAAAAATCACCATTTGTCCACCATCATCATAGGAACTGATACAGGTAGGACTCATCAAAGAAAGCTAAATCACTGGATAAAAGTCTGAGGAAAAGCAGGTTATCTCGGTAGTGTCAAAGTGTCTCCCCACATGATACTTAATTACAAAAAGTAAAATAGTAACTATACTGGAGAAACCTGGCAGATGTCATCCTAACCAAATGATCAAAATTAACATCTCCAGCAATCGGATCAATTGACAGCATGTGCCTCCTGATATGATGCACCAAGAAGACACAGCATCACCCCCGGGACATTCCTGCCAGGAAGTCCATAATCTGAATCTAATCATGAGGAAGCACCAGACAAACCCAAAATGAAAGACGGTTTACAAAATTACTGGCTTGCACTCTTCAAATATATGAATGTCATATTTAACTGTTCTAAACTAAAGAAGACAGGACAATAATGGTAACGCATGATCTTGAATTTTCTTTTGTTATAAAGGCCATTATTATGATACTGTTGAAAAAAATCTCAGTAAGGTACATACAGTAGATTAGACAATAATGTTGTTTCAGTGTTATTTTCCTGATTTTGATCACTACACTGTGGTTATGTCAGACAACTCCTTGTTTTTAGAAAAAACACACTGTAGTATTTGGGGTAAAGGGCCATCAGTCTGCAACTTACTCTTAATGGTTCAGGAAAAAAAAAATGTATGTGTGTATGTGAATGTGTATATATCTATATACCTACACATCCATACCTCTATACATCTTTATATACGGAGAGAAAAGACAAAATAATATTAACATTTGGGGAATCTGGGTAAAGGTTTTCTGGGAATTCTTTCTACTATTCTCACAACTCTTCTGTATGTCTGAGATTATGTCAAAAAAAAAATTTTAACAATTTTATGTTTTATTTTTTTTATTTTTTTAAAGATTTTATTTATTTATTTGAGAGAGAGAGAGAGTGAGAGAGAGCACGAGAGCAGGGTGAGGGGCAGAGAGAGAAGCAGACTCCCCACTGAGCAGGGAGTCTGATGCGGGGCTCAATTCCGGGACTCTGGGATCATGACCTGAGCTGAAGGCAGACGCTTAACTGACTGAGCCACCTAGGTGCCCCCAATTTTTTTTAAAAGAGACAAGTTTTCTTTTTTGGGTGAGTTTTTTGTGAGGTTTCTGTTTTTGCTTTTGTTTTTGTGTAGGCTGGTAAATTTGATGCAATTATTTGTAAAGTCCATTATGGCAGGCTACAATTTTGGGAGAGTTTTGGCATTGTGACAGTAAGCTTTCCAAAAAATAACTAGTAACTGAGAGGAATTGAGTCTTACAAGTGGGCTAACAACCACTGACTTACTACATTTTCTTTACAGTTAGTGTTTCTACAAAATAGTTTCCTTTTCTTTTCAATTCTTTCTTTATTTTCAAACTGCTATCTTTGACAGACTTCTTAGCTCCTAACCTAAGTGAGATGAGAATAAACCACTGAATTCTCCCTGGCTCTCTGCTTTCAACCACTGTCCTAATTCACCACTGGCTGCTGCTGAATTGAGATGCGCAAGAGTAACATGTCTACTGCACAGAAGTCACGCACACAAGAATAGCACTCATCCTTGAGGGAGAGTCACAGCGGAAGTTCTGAACAGAAATGCATGCCTGTTTCTCCAGGTCAAATAGCTCTCTAACTGTTAGATTCTCTGCACACCGCCCTCAGAATTAATTCAGCACTTATGGATTTTTTTCCCAATATATAAAGAAGGAGACTTTAATAAATAATCCTTTAACTCCTTTTATCAAATGTATATTACTTTTAATTTGTATTAAGCAAAACCAAATGAAAAACCAATTTCTTTCAGTTAACTAGGGAATTGAAGTAGCTTGCCAGGCAGTTATGCAATTCTAGAAAAATCCTTTAGAAAATATAATTAAGTCTAAATGTTCTTAAACCACTAGTCTCAAAAGTTGTTTTATTAACTGAAGCTCCAAGGATACAGATAACCAAATCAATTCATGTCAATATTTTAATGTCATGCATTAATTAGCCACACTAATAAAATAAGAATGCACCTGAGAATGAATGTCAGGGGCCAGAGAGAGTGACAGGTTAACTAGCTGAGCCGAAATAGCATTGATTTAAACCTGTAAGTGTGGTTAATGTCTCCTTCTATTGACTCACTCACTTAGGAAAACCTTGCTACCTGGAGACCCTAGACAAGCCAGAAAGAAGGCCTTCCCCAGCAGTTTGTCCAAGCAGGCTGAGGCTAGGGGGGGCGCCTCTGGAGTGGGCACCTCCAGGGCCCCTCCCCACTGGCCAGAAAGACACAGGCGCCAGGTGCGGGGAACGAGGAGTAAGCCCCATCCGTAAGGTCCACCCAGCCTGGTCCTCCCGAAGCTCACCCTACTCCCTCCCTGAGCCCAGCAGGGCACAAGCCCCCTCACTGGTCACCCGGAACAAGCCACAAGTCCCCTCTGTGCCTCAGTGTCCTCAAATGCCAATGGCAAAAGCAGACCTGCCTGTCTTAAACTGCAAGGTTGCCAGTGCGGGAAGTCATTTTGCCCACCACTGGGACCCTCCGTTCTTTTAATTAAGTCAACACACATTTAGAGAACACCTACTTAGTGCCATGCTGGTGATAAAACAGTCAAATTCCCTGCTTTCCTGGAGCCAATTGCTCAAAAATCAAGTATTATTATTAATAGGTTAAGAACCCGGGCTCCACAGTATATGACTCCATTAGTACCTTCACCTCACCTTAACCAAATGTTACAATTCTTCCGTTTCCCCCGAGAGGGTCGGGACGTCAGAGATCAGGGGTTCTGGAGATGGAGGGGCTCACATTGGAAGGGCAAAGGTGGACCTCATTTCCAGCCTGCCACCCGCCACTGGCCAGAGCCAGCAGGCTGACCTCAGGACTTGCCTTCCTGAGAACAGACACCATTCCCTGGGGACTCCTGGTCTTTAGGATCTGGCCAGAACCTTTAGGGCCAATTCCATTTTCTCTTCCTGGACCCTAAAATCTTTCAGATTCAAATGCAATGAACATTCACTGAGCAGAACCCACCATGTGTCAGGCGATGTACTACGTGTGTTATAGACTGAACTGTATCCCCCCCAAAATTCACATACTGAAAGCTTAACCCACAGTATGGCTGTATTCAGAAGGGACCTCTAAGAAAGTCATTAAAGTTACATGATGTCATAAGGGTGGGGCCCTGATCTGATATTACTGTTCTCAGTAAGAGACACCAGAGAGCTTGTTCACTCCCTCGCTCCACACGGGAGAAAAGCCCATGTGAAAATACAGTGGGAAGGGAGACATCTGCTCCCTAAGGGGAAAGACCTCACCAGGCTCCTGCCACCTGCTGGCACCTGGATCTTGGACTTCCAGTCTCCAGAACAGCGAGAAAATAAATTTCTGTTATGTAAGCCACACAGTCTGTGGTGTTTTGTTATGGCAGCCCAGGCAGACTGAGACATGGCATTTCATATATATTATTGGACTGAATCCTTGATTTT